AACACAAGATTATGGAGTTGGGTTGGGAAGTTCTCCCCTACCCAACATATTCTCCAGATATGGCACCATCAGATTACCATCTTTTTCGTTCGCTGCAACACCATCTTAATGGGAAAACGTATGCACATGTGGAAGGTGTTAAAGAGGATATTGACATGTTTTTTGCTTCAAAGCCAAGTGATTTCTTTAACCAGGGCATTAACAACCTGATTGCAAGATGGAAAAGCATCATCGATAAGAATGAAGACTATTTCATTTAATAAATGTTTTGTTTTGATTTATAAGTTGTTCGGGTTTTTTCATCTAAAAAAGCGACATTAATTTCTTGACGACCTAATAGATTGAGAGATAAAAAACGCGGATTACTGAGTTGGAGTGTTTTTTAGTTTGTCTGTTAATTCATTTTCGCGAATATTGAGTTTGTGTTTCGATGAAGAATATAGAGATACCAGAAAATGCAGTATGTAAAACGTTAAAAACAATTTAATCAAAGAAAAGATTGAAAAAGCGAGAGAGAAAAGCACATGTTGTTGAAAAAACTAAAAGAAATGTACAGAAATATGATAATAACAGCATCAATGAAGTACAGAAGGATATCTAGGAAATGAACTGGCAAATGTATGAATTAAACCAACCAAATCTCTCTCTGCAGTTGCTCAAGAATTCCAAAGTTAACCACCATTAATTATGAAATAAAAAAATTCGTTTGATTTACACTTGTTACCACTATTGCTGTGCCACCTACGACTATAGGACTTTTCTGGACTACTCCAACTACACCACTTCATCTCATTAAGTTATAGAACAATTGAGAAACCAATATATTACGATGGAAACGTAGCATAAGAGGCGTACCAGGTACATATTTAAATAAATTCCAACGGGAATGAATGGAGTAGTGGACAAGTTAATCTTGCTGCACAGCTAAATCATTAAGTAACCTTCTAACACAGAGCAATAACAACTATCAGGCATTTGAAGCCATATTATCAAATAGAAGAAAGCTTCTAAAGTAAAGTTTCGGAGCAGAGTAAAGAGGGAGAGTGAGATCATAGCCCACCTTGCTGAGAATGTAGAAAGACTTGCCCGAATATATAATCCAGATAATCCACGTTAAATAATGGATTCGTTGGCATACCCAGTTGATAATAAAACTCGAATAAATTAAAATTACAGATTAGCAGCTAAAACTATTAAGTATGGAATCACCAGATCAAATAATATGGAAGCATCAACTCCCTCTGATGGAAGTCTGAAAGAATTCAAAGATTTAAACAACTGATTACTCAGGATGGAATAATTAAATCACAGGACAAAAGGTCTTTCAACTGCAACTTAATGATGACTCAATAAATGATAACAAACTAAGGAGATGACACCCTGAGAATGTGTTTCAAAGCCAAGACAATAAAGAGCTAACCAGACACGAAAAACGGCCATTTCCTAAACTTAGCAGACGATAATTGTGTGGATAATTGACACCCAAGTCAATTCTGGATGGAACGTTAGAAGATGTAAAACTATACAAACTGTACTCCTAATGTCATTGTTTTGTAAAATAATTTTCTGACACAGCTCGTCCTATGTACAAACTTCTAGAAAAAACAAACAACTTTTGATGGACTGCTGATTACGAACAAATATTCAACAAACTGAAGATAACCACTACCCCCTGTATTAGAATTAATCACTACCCCTGTATAAAACTAACCAGTACCCCTGAATTAGAACTAATCACAACCCCTGTATTAGAACTAACCACTACCCCTGTATAAGACTAACCACTACCCCTTTATTAGAACTAACCACTACCCCTGTATCAGAACTAATCACTACCCCTGTATAAAACTAACCACTACCCCTTTATTAGAACTAATCACAACCCCTGTATTAGAACTAACCACTACCCCTGTATAAAACTAACCACTACCCCTGTATAAAACTAACCACTACCCTTGTATTAGAACTAATCACTACCCCTGTATTAGAACTAATCACAACCCATGTAGTAGAACTAATCACTACCCCTGTATAAAACTAACCACTACCCCTTTATTAGAACTAATCACAACCCCTGTATTAGAACTAATCACAACCCCTGTATTAGAACTAATCACTACCCCTGTATAAAACTAACCACTACCCCTTTATTAGAACTAACCACTACCCCTGTATTAGAACTAATCACAACCCATGTATTAGAACTAATCACTACCCCTGTATAAAACTAACCACTACCTCTTTATTAGAATTAATCATTATCCCTGTATTAGAACTAATAACTACCCCTGTATTATAACTAACCACTACCCTTGTATAGAACTAACCACAACCCTTGTAAAGAACTAATACTACCTCTTTATTAGAATGAATCATTACCTCTGTATTAGAACTAACCACTACCCCTGTATAGAACTAATCACTACCCCTGTATTAGAACTAATCACTACCCCTGTATTAAAACTAATAACTACCCCTGTATAGAACTAATAACTACCTCTTTATTAGAATTAATCATTACCCCTGTATTATAACTAATAACTACCTCTTTATTAGAACTTACCACTACTCATGTATTAGAACTAATCACTACTTCTTTATTAGAACTTACCACTACCCCTGTATTAGAACTAATCACCACCTCTGTATAGAACTAAACACTACTCCTGTATTATAACTACTCACTACCCTGTATCGAACTAACACTACCTCTTTATTAGAACTAATCATTACCCCTATATTACAACTAACCACTACCCCTTTATTAGAACTAACCACTACCCCTGTATTAGAACTAATGACTACCCCTGTTTTAGCAGACCAAACTCTTAAAGACTCGTTTATAATAAATAAAGATGAACTAATTTTATAGTGGGTGCAGTGTTATCACAAGTGCTGCACCGAAAAGATCACGTGATCGTCTACTTTATCAAGGCAATGAATTATTTCGAAAGGAGGTATTGTACAACTCAAAAAGAACTACTAAGTGTTGTTTGAACCTAAAGTAATTTCCATCACTACCTATACTGAAAAAAAGTTTATATTTCGAACAGATCATGCAACATTGAAGTGGCTGACAAATTTCCAGAAGGCCAGATAGCAAGGTAGCTCTAAAAATGTCAGGAGTACAAGTTGAACACCATGCAACATCCTGGATGGAAGTATCGAAATCCTGATGCTTTGTCACACAAAAAAAATGCTATTGTTGCGTCAGCGTGTCACATGACTACTGTGACGCCACGTTTCTAGAACTATCCTGTATTTTGGCGAATGCTCTAGTATTTACTAGATATAGGGTAGTCGGGTATATATAAGAGGGGACAACGTGACGCGGGGAATGTAATGTGTGTATAGACAGTGAGTAATTGATCTGCAGTCAGAAGTATTATTGAGCACTTTCGTTGTTATAGCGTTTGTTTAGCGCGATTGTTGAAGTTGAGTGTATCGGTAAAGTTATATTCGGAAAGAATAAACCAGTTTTTATTAAGAAAGAACTTGTGTCGCTTAAGTTTCGTCGGAACGAAGTTACGGAAAATCAATTAACAAACGGAGACGTAACACTATCTATGAAAAATGTAATCACTGAAAAATAGGGAAGCACAAGAGAATAAATAAAACCAACCTAAATTACAAAACAGCAGAATCAAAATAAGACATTCACAGCTGGAGAAGAACTAACTGAATTCAACACTGACTTGAAAGATGCTCAGGTGTTAAGCCAATTATCCAGTGAATCAAGAATGATGTAGAAGGAACCTTATAGCATAAATAATCCCTACAAAAAGGTTTGTTATTTCTAAAATTGGAACATACGAGAGGAAAGAAATTATTGTTGTAGTTGGTAACTTTCACAATCACTATAATTAGAAGCACCTTATCTTCAAAACCTTTCAATAATTGGATGCCTAGGTGTTATGAAGACCATTGAGGGGATAAAAGAACGTTTATACTGGGTTGGATGGTGGAACTCCATAAATGATTGGTGTAAATCATATGAATGGTCCTATGAGCGAAAAAGGTCAAGAAGGAAAAAACATGGATTAATACAGCAGTACTGTGTTGGAGTGTCACATGGATTATTTCACCAAGCGGCCAGAAACATAAACTATAGCAAGTAAGCTCGTCAATGAAGTTGTTTCAAGATCTGTAGTGGCTATAGAACTTTTCTCAAATCATGGATGGAACTTGGGATCAGTTTTGTTTGTGGAGCTTTGTTCAATCCTTGGAATAAAAAACGACCAGGACAACAGCCCTTCATTCCATTTTTGATAGAATGGTGGGGAGATATTAGCCATTCATGTAGATGAACATCAGAAAATGTGGGGTCAAAATATTACACTTCTACTTATGAGTTATCAAACAGTGATACCTGAAGCTATAGTCAAACATAATAGCATAATGCTCTTTGGAAGGTGACTGAAACTGCCATTGGACCTTCCGTATTCATACTCTAAGGAACATCATTCAGAAGAGTCTTACACACATTATGCAGTGTGACTAAGGAATACATTAATACCATATATGACTTTACCCGTGAAAGACTTAAATCAGATATGGTGTAAATGCTGATAAGACTGGAGTTCATACTTGTGACATGGTATGGCTAATACAATCCACGTTAAAGTAAAGGTTGGTCGTTTTTACTGAGTAAGTGGGTTTGTTAATCAGTTTGTCTGTGAACATTGAGCTTGAGTTTCAATGAAGAAAATGTCATATGTACAAAGGAAGTTAGAAACAAATGTATCAACTTCTACTGTGAACCTAGACCTATCAGCAAACATTAGCTATTATAACTTGTATAAGTTGTAGTTGAGTAAATAAAACGCTTTCATCATAATTGTTGTATCAACGTCTACTGTGAACTTAGACCTATCAGTAAACATTGGCTATTGTAACTTGTATAAGTTGTATAACTTATAGTTGAGTAAATAAAACGCTTTCATCATAACTTCGTGAAATGGACTTTATTTTTACCAAATAATCCAAAAGTGCCCGCTCAACAATAGAAACCGTTACATCAGTATCTCAGAATGAAGAAAGTTTAATCAGTACATTCATTTCAAGTAAATTGTTGGAAATAAGTCAAATATGCAAATAGAATAAATATTTTGAGACCTTAGATGATATTTTGAATAATTTTGTAAAACTTTTAAAAATTGTTCAACTCGAAACTAAAAGTGAAAGTTAGAAACCTAATACTTGGTACCAGACTGTGCTAACGAGTCAAAAATACCAACTAATTCTAAAAAAAATATTATATTGTTAATGAAAGAAACTTTCATTTTACTACTCCAACTTAGTATTATTGTCATTTTTAACTAAATTAATTATTGGAAGAACGAATAAAAGTTATCTTCTAAAAATTAAAATGTTATATCTAATAATTATCAGAGATTGTAATAACTTTTCTTCAGTAATTGAATAATCTAAGGCGAGCTTTATTGATAATTTGTGTACTTATTTATATACTTTATCTTTAATACATAGTAAGGTAGGAATCTGACTTCCAAATTTTGAAATAAAAAGGGAAAACTTACAACAAAATCAGATTTTATAAATGTGAAATAACTTACAAATTACTAACTGAGTAACTGGTAATTTCACTGATACCTATTTTTATTTTAGCAGGATATTTATCAAATCTCAGTGTTTCGGAAGTGCATATTCTTAAACAAAGTTTTCTCTTTGGATGTGTTCATAGTAGATACTATTTTAATTAAACAACCCAGTATACAGTATTTTACAAACTTATGCCAGTGGTACTTAGTGCTTTATAAACTCGTATTCACAGTTATAAAATGCCGAACGTGAAATTCCAATTATTAATCCTAATTAATATTCTATTCCTGGCGGTCATTCTTAGCTACAAGTTTAAGACGAATTTTAAGATACTTCTAACTAGTGAAATATTTTTCAAAAAACGCATAACTATGTAATGTTTTTGTTTACTGAAGTCAACTTTACTACTTAATTAAACTCGCCACTTGGACAAATAATTAAAGTACAACTAACTGTCTAAAACACCCTAGAAAAGTGTATTATTACAAAAACGTGTTAAAAGGTTCACATGATATTTAGACGCAGTCTATTAACAACTTTAAAACTGAAATTCCCAAGCAATATCTCAATTTTACCAACAATTTAAACGATGAATTATATTATTTCTAGTCCACTCTTGTCGATTTAGAAACACAATGGTCAGGCTTAAGTATCATATCAAAACCAACATCAGGAATTTCCTGTTTCTAATTACCTTATTCTTTCACAAGACCAGCTCACAAAAGAAAAATTCTCAAATAATATAATCAAAATGATTTCGTAGGTGAAGTGTTCATATAACCAAAAGAGTCGTTCCTTTGAGGCAGTGAAAAATTCACGGACTTCTGTCCCTCAATAGTTGACGTGAAGCCGTTAGATGGCGTTGCTTTCCACTGAAAACGCTTTCCAACGAAGAAACTCTCCGTTCTTGGAGTAGACGGTGAACTTTTCTAGCCATGGAACCTGCCAAAATGGCAGCAAAAAAGAACATGCAGCCTAACGCTCCTGAAAGGGCCAGGAAGGAGGTACAGTTGAACCCAGAAACGCTATTACCATCCACAAGTTTTTTTTCGTCTTTAAAAGAAGAAAATATGAAATACAACTCTATAAAATAAATACTCCAATGTAATAATTAAATAAATACAAACTTTCTTAAAGATCGAAATAATGGTCGGACATTTTTTTTATATAATAACCTGAGAATCACTTAATAACAGTCAAACTTAAAGTGGTGCCATCTTGCGGGCTGTTTCTACCAAAAAGGGGCTATTTTACAATAATAATAATAATCGTTTCCGGGAAAAAAATGTTTCAATAACACACGAATAAAACAAAAATTGTATGTGAACAGGGATTATGATGCTGTTGAAGGTGTTATTTTGCTATATTTTAAGTTTTATTTTCTCATGAAATAAACCAGTAGAGTAATTAAAAAAAACATTTTTCAAAAAATAAAGAATTTAGTTTTTTTAAATATTAAGAAAATTGAAATTAAAGCCATAATGCTCAAAAGTTCAACAGAAGATGGTACAGAACATTCAAAGAAACTGGTTTTACATTCAAAAGACCAGAAG